ATTTTTGTCCCTAAAATTTCAAATGCAAATTTGGTAAATAAAAATATTAAAGAACCTTAAATGTCAGCAAAGAGCTAGAAACAAAACTAAATGTGCAATATGTGTTAAATGTGAATATAGGTCGAGGATTACCACGAAATCATTTGAAATTTATAAGTGCCGAGAGGAATTAAATTCTCGAGTTAAAGGTGAATTATAGTGTTTAAAACCTTCCTTGTTGCATTGAAACTTTTAATGAAATGCACACCATTATTTATACTTAAAACCATTTGTTAATTGTGATACTAAAATTGTGAATTATGATAACTATTTGGCCTCTACACCTATTTGATCATACCAAGCCATTTGTTTAGCTAATAGGACAAAATTCCAACTTGATAAAGGTTATACCATCAGGCTATGTGCACATAGAGATTTGTAATTAAAGGAAGAAGTTACTGCCTTAAAGTGTGCAATGTGTGATAGCACTGGAATATACATAGCAATATGTTTTCTGCAGTGATATCTATATGTTTATTTGTCATATTATTGATATGGCACTACGATATTGATCCGATTACTTAAATCATTTTATATGGACTTATCTCTTTTGAAGAGACTGTAATGGTGTTGTACCTCCTTGTGCAACTATGGTTATTGAACCTTGAAATAATTTCCAATATGCTATATATTTGATACTATAATTTTATTGAGTTGATGACTCACTCAAGCGTCTGTGGTTTCAGGTAGAGGTGATCTAGGTTCGTCAGCTTCTTGATTTCTTCCTTCCAACAAAAAACCAATGAAGAATGTAATTAGATGTTTGATAATATAAGTAATTAATGTTCTTGAATAAAGAACTCTAGTTGCTCCGTAGTACCTTTGTAAAGTATATTAGTATGGTTTGAACATAAACAATGGTATTATATGGGTATGGTGTATGACTATATTATAAGTGTGTAAGAATGTATCCAAAAATCTATGGTAACTATCTAAATGTGAATGATATGATAATAGCCCAACTAAGTAATTAATCATGAAAATCAATATGTATAATTAGACTAATTCAATTGCGGGTTGTACGAGGTGCCCAATGGCATTAAGCCTAACTGGACTCAAGGATTGTCGCACCTCTGGTTGCCAGGCTGGGGTGACAGTATTAGTCCTTAAAATAATTTGAGTGGAGAAATCAAGTAAAGAAAGAAAAAAAAAATTAAAAGAGATTGAAGAACAGGTAGTTTCAGCCACTTTTGGAGGAAGAACAAAAGAATGTGATGTCTTTAGGGCTTCATCTCTTTCTCAAATGAAATGGATGGGTAGGATTAATTATGTGCTTTTTGATCTAAAGACCATAATCACATCACTTAAAACTTTCTATATTTACACCTCCAACCTCTAAACGTTTTAAATCCATTCAATTTAACATCAAATCAATTTTTATAAATTACACTATTTCTCATCTCTGCACACATGTAATTACAATAATACCCTTGAACAAAACTATCCATCTTTCCCAATACATCTCATCTAAGCCCGTACCCTAAATCAAAAGCTGTTTATTAGAGATGCATCCCGAAACTATAAACAGCAAGCTATGACTATAAACAACAAAATGTTTATTGAGTTGCTTTAATAATAATAATTATAATAATAAAATAACAACATAATAAGTCACAATATTTTATATTTATGATCATAATTCTGAGTAATGAATAAAATCTCATAATCTAACAATATTATGAATAGTACTTTCTACGGGTTGAGAAAACACCCATCACCTCACTGCGCCATTATTAACAAGCTGCAAAGTGACACTATTCATGACCCAAAATATCAAGACCCAAAATATCAAAGTGTTATATTTTTAATTTTTGATTTGTGATATTGGATGTTTATTATTATAACTCTAATCTTTTTTTTTTTTTTTTTTTTTTTTTTTTTTTTTTTTTTTTTTTTTTTTTTTTTTTTTTTTTTTTTTTATTTTTTTTTGCCGGTGATATAAATGAGGAAAGTAAAACAACATTTCATTGTTTTCTCATTGGACAAAATAGTATTTCCCCTTTGCATTTCCTAAGTTTTTTTTTTTTTTTTTTTTTTTTTTTTTTTTTTTTTTTTGCGGTGATATAAATGAGGAAAGTAAAACAACATTTTTCATTGTTTTTTCAATGGACAAAATAGTATTTCCTTTGCATTTCCATAAGTTGGTAAGATTATTGTCTATTTCAATTATTAGCATAGAAAAAAGTGATTCCCATTTTTGCCAAATTGTAATTTTTTTTTAATCGATGAACACTTGATTCTAAATTTTTTCTGTTCAAATACTAAAATAGCAAAATCAAAAAGTTTAAATAAAAATAACATAATTACCTCTAGAAAAATGTATCTAATTGACGAAAAGAAAAAGGTTCGGAATTAGATTAGTCATCATGTTTATTTTGATTTTATTAAATGAATATAAAAAGGTTGAGGATATTTAACCCTAATTTTAGACTTGATTGAAGAAAATTGAAAATGCTAAGGATGAATTTGAAATTTGGTTATACAAATTTAAAAGAGAATTTTAATATTTATTTGTTATACATTTTTTATATTATATTAATTAATAGCACTAATAAATAAGGTATATGACGACTCAGACTATGCGATATACTATTTATAAGTTCATAGTAATTAGGATTTTCCAACGCATATACACACATACACGGCATATGAAAATGGTAATTTTTACTACATACTTAAAACACAACCCGAATGAGACGAATAAAATCCATTCTATATAAAGATGGGATGTATATGGAAGCACAAAATAAAAATCCGACCCGAACTCGACTTGCTATATAACTCGGCAAGAAGGTTTATATTTACTCTCGTGAGGTAAATACTGATATTAAAAAAACCCAAATCACACGTGTGTCACTATCATTTTTAAACACATGTACACAAATAAAATAAGATAACTAAGACTTTAAATTATTACAATTTTTTTTCATGATACCATAGTAAATTAAATTTATAATTTTTTGAGAAAATTAACTAGTTATAAGATTTTGTTAATAACAATTTGATGTTATTGTTTATTACTTCATTATAAAACTATCTATAAAGGCGGAAAGTTAATTAGTTAATTAATTAGTATTAATCATTTATAATTGGTTGGCTCGAGCCAAAATAAGCTTGTATTACTCCACTTTATCTTCATGGATTTTAATATCTTATCCTACCATTTATCTTTATCCTTTCAATTCAAATTTGTAATATAATATCAAAGTAAATTTGTCTTGATTCATTTATCCCTCACTTTACTGATGTTGTGTTGCGTCTCAATTCAAGTTCTTGTGTGGATGTCCAATCCCAACAAAGTCCATTCAAATTCAAGTTCAAAGACAAAACTTAAGTTCAAATTCAAGAGAAGAATTTCAGGTTTCAATTGCCAATCGAGTGTGTAGTCTTTATTTTGCATTTGAAGAAAACTGTCACAAATCCTTCATCGATCAAACACCAAATCTGTAAAGGGTGTAAAATAATTTATATTCTTAGGTGGAAATAATTTATCTTTATTATTATAAACTAGAAAAAAAGAAAAGCAAATTTTAATGAAAAAATGAGAAATGACAAAGTTAGATTATATGAAAGGTGTTTTCAAAAAAAAGATTATATGAAAGGAAAACGATAATTAATGGTTGAGAAATTGCATTTCTAAAATGATTACAAGTAGCGGTATCAAACCTGTGGAGACCTATTGGGTGTGTCAGAATTCATTTATAGACGAAATGACAATAATGCATGACACAGTCTGATGGTGTATTTCCAAAGATGAAATACTTGAAATAGTTTAAACGTGGAAATAGTAACGTTACGATAGAAATGCCAAAATCCTTTGGAATTTAAAATTAGGGTTTAAACAATGAACCACCATATTTCCATATAACATTAAGCTTAATTTTTTATTTAAGAAAACCTTTGCCGTTTTTATTTTAATTTATTTTAAATACTGAGTAATTAATTTGTGCACAAAGTTGTTTAACCATTTTGAAAATCTAGCTATGTCCAGTTACCAATTCCGTTACAGAAATTTATTGACTACACCGCGTGTATGGATAGTCTTATATATCAAACCAATTAAAATGAGTCTTTTTTTTTTTTTTTAAAAAAAAAGAAAGATATTGTTTTGTCCTTTTTTTTAGTGTATGGTCAATAATATCATCAGTTGAGAATATTATTTATAATTAATTTAGTATATAAGTGGATCATTCAATTGCTTTATTTGGTTATGGTATGTATTTCATATATGGAAATTAGAGAGGAGTATATTATCCTCCCCATGTTATTCACTTATTGGTTCTTTTTCTTTTCTTTTTTTTTTTTTAAGAAAATATTCACTTATTGTTATTGACTTGAAGTTGATTAATTCTACTATTTTAGCTTCTTTTTTTTCCAAGTACGCTCCGGTATCATAACTTGTATTCTGACTTTTATATATATATATATATATATATAAAAGAGGTTTAATTATCTCAAACTGTTCAAGTATGTTTTTTACTCTTCCAGTAAATATGTTTTTTTTAAATCGAATTTGTATTTTTAACTTTATAGAAATTGAGTTCATTTACCACTGCAACCAAAGCGTTGCAGATTGTATGCTGAGCTTATTTTAACAACACAGAATTACTTAAAAATTATTGAATTTTGAAAAAGAAAAATGTTTTACTTTTCCTTAAATTAGAGTAGAACTAGAACCCTCTACTTCCTAACAATAATAAAGGGCTAAGGACAACATAGATGAAGTGTGGTGTTTGTATTTCTTGTAGTAATAAGGTGTGTTTTAAAGGGATTGGAGTTTGAAAACGCGTCGAAAAACACAAGATAAAGAACGTAGCGCTTAGCATGCAAAGCGGAGCGAAATCAAAGCTCGCACCTCTCCTCCTCCGCTCCTGCACCACCCAACACCACCTCCAACATTGAGCAACACACCTAGTTTTTCCCTCCTCCTTCTTCCTTCCTTTCTTTCAATTTTATTTTTACAATTTTTTTCTCTCTCTACATCTTCGATCTCTTTCTCTCTCTATATCTACAAACTCTCCCTATCAAGAAAAGAAACAAGAGAGGAAGAACAAGAAGGACAAGGGATTTATTTTCTTTCTTTTTCTTTCTCTTTCTCTCCTCTCTTTATTTCCTTTTGCCTTCATTTCTCTCACCTTTGAGAGAGGAGAGAACACACCAAAAAAAAATATAAAAATATAAAAAAAAAAAAAGGAAAGAAAAGGGACAACCACCATTATCAAATAAATACATAAATGCAATTAAGGATTGCTTGAAGACAACAAGCCCATTACGTAATCAAAATACCCTCAGTCATTTTCTTTGGCTCTATTTAAACCCTCTATAGAGCCACAACACAATACAGAAAAGAAAAATTGAGCATATAAAGAGTGGTGAAAGTTTTTTCAAAATGATCAGCAACGACGGAGGAGCATTATCCGTGGAGTCGAGTCAGAAAACCAACCAAGGTGGTCTAAAGAAGGGGCCTTGGACAGCTTCAGAGGATGCAATCTTGATAGAGTATGTAAAAAGACATGGAGAAGGAAATTGGAATTCTGTGCAAAAGAATTCTGGTTTGATGAGATGTGGAAAGAGTTGTAGGCTTAGATGGGCTAACCATTTAAGGCCTAATCTCAAAAAAGGTTCTTTTACCCCTGAAGAAGAGAGAATCATCATCGAACTTCACGCAAAACTCGGTAACAAATGGGCTCGCATGGCTTCTCAGGTATGTGTATATAATATACATTTCTCTTGACGTGCCTGTGTTGCTTCTCCATTTCACCATTTTCTTTTGCTTCTTTCCCCACCCTTCTCTTCACGATTATTTGTATTATCTATCAAATTCTTCTTCTTCTTCTTCTTCTTTATATTAATACTTTATGTCTTTTTTGATTGTAAATAAATAATAGCAAAGATTGTTATTTGTTTATTTTTATTTTGTTCATGTGTTTTGATCTCAACCGATCCATAATACTTTCTATCTCTCATGTCTTTTTGGCCTGGCTGCCTCTTACTATTATATATTATTTTCCTTTGATGTTTTTTTTACCATCTAATTAGTTTCTTGATTCTCTTACTTATTTCATTTCAGTTACCTGGTAGAACAGATAATGAAATCAAGAATTTTTGGAATACAAGAATGAAAAGAAGACAAAGAGCTGGTTTGCCTATATACCCGCAAGAATTCCTAGAAGAACCCTCTCCATTCCGTATTCATCAACAACAATCACATCATCAAAATCAACAAGGACAACAAAAACACCATAACTCTTCTTCTTCTTCTCCATTCTCTTCTTTACTATCTTCGTCTCAAAAATCTACCTATAATAATTCCTCTCTTTCACTTCTCGACCCAATTAACTTCTCATCTTCATTAGATCCTTTGCAAAATCATCTTTCTTCCTTTTACTCAAATCCCGCTTTCCAATTAAAGTCATTTGGTGATAATAGCAACCCTAACAGTAATAACAATAATAATACTAACTCTTCTTTAGCTTTGCCTCTTTCTCAATATGCAAGATCATCACCGGTAACCTCTATACCTTCGTTTAACCAAAATTTTTCAAGCCAAGCAATTCCGACACCGCCTCCCTTACCGCCGTCGTTGCATTACAATTCTAACGATTTTGAAAATAATGTAAGTTTTACTTCATTAATAATGGGAGCTCACGTTGAACCAATTGGCCTTATGCCTAATTCGAAGTCTGAGCTCCCTTTGGACCAATCATCACCGCGTGGAAATACTGGCGGCGGCCGTGGCGTTGGTGGAGAGGCGTCAAGTAAAAATAATGACAATGACATAACAAGTGAAACTGACTTGGTTGCAGAGATGCAGCAGGATAATAGGAATAGTGGTTTGTTGGATGCTTTGTTGATGGAATCCGAAAATCTGTCTCGTAAAGAAAAATCCAAGGTTGAGAATTCGTTGTTATTGGTTGCGTCTGATAAAGGGAAACGAGTGAGAAATGAGCTTACAAAGGAGGATAAAGAAGAGAAAGAAGCTATTAAACGTGTTAAGTTGTCGTTGGCAGATGGCCCGGGTGAAGCCTCCGGTGAAAATCACTACTGCGATGATTTTAGCTCTTCTCCATCATCAATTGGTGAGTTACTTGCAACTTTTTTGTTTGTTATTTTTGTTTGTTTTGTGAATTAAAAAAAAAACATTGCTGTAATAATTTATTATCAATTTTTCTGGGGGTTTTATGGGGATCTAATTCCTTTATTTGACACTAGAATTAATCTTATTTTAGAGTTCATGACTGCTAATCATAAGTATTTTTTGGCTAATCGAATCCTAGTGTTGCAAGTTTTTCATATAGGGACTAAACAAAGAATTATTTTGAAGAAATTAAAATGTGCAAAAATGTGAATTATATGTTTGTTATATGCATATATAGGGGTGAAACCAAGTGATCAAGAAGCAATGGAGGAATTGAATTCCATGAGTGATGACTTATTAACCTTACTTGATGACTTTCCATCACCAGCGCCACTCCCGGAGTGGTACCGTAGTAGAAATATGTCCGGTGGGTTTTCGTCTGGCTCGACAGGTGACGGTGGAGGACTTGAAGTTGATCAGCAAGAAACTTCACCGGCTGGCCATCAGGTTGGCGATCAGGTTGCAACCGCGGATGACATCCCAAATGTTGACTGGACCTTTGGATCCTCGTATTGGAATAACATGCCAGGCATTTGCTGATAAGAACTTTGCTTTCCAAAAAGCTACGTGAAAATTACTTGTTTAGACCGGGTCTATAGCCACGCTTATGGACCAAATCGAAGACAGTCTTCAAAGAGACTTTACTAATGTTGACGAGGAAAAAAGGGAATTTAATAGCTATAGAGAAATTATGATACTTTATGTGGTTTTATCGTTTAGTTAGAGAGTTAGGTTCTATCAGGGATTTCTTTCTCCTTTCTTTCTTCTTCTTTAACTTTTTTCAGTTGCTAGATTTAATGTTTTAATTAGTGTTTGTTTCATGCCGGTTTTATTTATTTAGATCAATAGAGGAATATCTATCTATATGTTAGTGTATCTTTGTATATATCAAAGGTTGTAGAACATAGATTTGCAATAGCACTAAACTTTATCAGTGTTAAAAGTGGCTATTAATACCGTTTTCTAATTCTCTATTTAATTTCTTGAATCAACTTAGGTATTTATTTGGATAATCAATGATTGTAGATTAGGTGTAGGCAAGTCTTATTCCATGCATGCTTGAACTCCAAGTGGTATTTGGAACTCTTAATTTTTAAGGCATACAATCTCTGTTATATGTATAGAATAATATAAATTCATATAATATTAAATTCAAAATTTATAATTATGTAGGACTAAAATTACCTAGACTCGTTCTATAGGTTCACCTATGAATCAAACCCATGAAAATTAGATATTTTCTAAATGTTGTTCTAACTTTATCTTCTGTCTTTCCCCTGCTGAATAATAAAAAAATTATACCCCTATTTTAACCAAAAATTGTTCTTTATTAGTTTAATCTTTATAATTTATTATCACTTATAAGTGGGCCGGTAGATCAAGTATAAACAAGTTTAATCCATCTTTTCAATGCTTCGATTTCACCAACTTTAAAGTTTATGTTGATCTTACTGTATAAATATTGAGGATCAAACACTTACATCTTGTTTATCGACCTGCCATACACCTAATGAATAAATAAAATTATTTAGTACAAATAACAGTAGTATTATCCTTTCACTGGCTAAACCTACAAAAATACTCGAACTTTGCGACTTGTTGCTATAACACTATAAGTTTGACCTTCGTCCCCTTAACACCCTAACTTAAAAATTTAGAAATATTATCACCCTAAATTCAAAATCAATTAGGATTTATCATAAAATAAATAAACCCCCCCCCCCCCCCCCCCCGTCCCCTTACACCCTAACCTTAAAATTTAGAAATATTATCACCCTAAATTCAAAATCATTAGGATTTATCATAAAATAAAATAAACCCCCCCCCCCCCCTCCCAAAAAAAAAAAAAAAAAAAAAACAAAAAACGATCGTAAAAAAAAAAAAAAAAAAAACCAAAAACGCATCGTTTGGCCTTCGGAAAAGCAAAATTATTTTGTTCTTTTAAGTCGTTGGCTAACAACTGCGTCTACCCTCACAAATTCAGATGACCAAATTAACAATTTCTTTAATACTCAAACTACTTGTCGTCCCCTTTAAACGATGACTTTGACGAAAATCAGGCATTGCATAAAGAATTAGAAGCTTCTCTTCTTGCATAAGTAAAAGTTGCAGAAACCTTCAAGCGGGAAAAAAGATGGCATTGGCTGTGTGCTAAAAGTGAAAGACACAGTAGAATAGATAATCTCCAACAGCAGATTGCATTGATTGAGCAAGCTGCCAATTCTGCCAGAATGGAGACACTCACGTCATTTGCGTCGGATGAAGAGACTTTCCTTTGAACAATGATAGAAAAGGATTAGATTTTGGAGCACCTCCAGAAACAGAACAAGTGGCTGGAGGAAGAATCATTAAGAAATTAGGGATTTTGATTTTTCTAAAGGCCAAGATGGTGCTTTTTGGTTACTAGGGGTTTGAATTAAGTTCAACCCAAGCTGGTTTGGTGGGATCCATTTTTATACTATTCTATTGAAACCCTAACCGATTTTGAATTTAGGTTGACAATATTTTAAGTTTCTAAGTGGGGGTGTCAGCGAGACGAACGTCAATTTAGAGTGTTATTGCAATAGTCGTAAAGCTCGAGGTATTTTTGTAGATTTAGCCTCCTTTCACTAGAAAAAACAAAAAGCAAGACAATTTTCATTAGATTAGGCAAATCTTATACTCATTTTGTTCTTTTTATATCGAGAAAATATAATTTGCAGAAGGACTAATCAGATAGTTTAACTGAATATTTTGTGCATTTTCTTCTCGATTTGCCCAGGGATGAAGCTAGGATTTATAAAGAAATGGGACAATTTAGTATAAGAATTTATTAAGCGAATATTATGTAGAAATGGACAGGGGCCAAAGTGGTTAAACTATCTTAAAAATTGCTTCAGACCAAGATTCAATCCTTAGTATTGTTAAGGGAAAACTTTTTTTTTTTTTTTTCAAAATAGAAGAGGGTCAATTGCCCCTGTCTTCTAAAAGGTAGCTTCGTCCCTGGATTTGCCCCTAGAATATTAAATTATGTCTTATATTTAATGTTAGCCCACTCACGTTTTCCTTCTCCTGACGGGTGCATTTAGTGCATATTTTTTGCAAGAAAATGATTGAGCTAATTGTGCTACAATCAACCAAATTCAAACTTTCCTAAAATTGAAATCCATTTCAAATTTTTAACTTCTCTCTTCACATTAACTATTGTGCATTTTGAAAAATATGTACGCAAAAACGAAAAAAAAATTATGGAGCCAAAATTTTTGAATCATGAACGGTCTTTTGAAGTTCTAAAATATCCCCACATATAAAAAAATTTTGAGCGTATATTGACAAGGTCTAAGTGCAAAATAAGATATATAAGAAAGCTAGTGTTTGCTAAATAGTTTTATGACCATATTATACATCTATATACAAAACATTATCCAAATTCATGCTCAAATGATTCAAGCATATACATAATTAACTCTTGCATGAAAACATTAACAAATATGTGCATCATAATTAAAAAGTAAAGCGCATATTGCGTTGAATAAAGAGAGAACACGCCTTCAGTTCTGTTTTAAAAACATACGGACATAAAATGTATAACTCATGTTTTTACTGCCATTATCTCTTTTCTTTTAGAAAATTAATGCAGATAATAAAGTTAGGTTGAGGGCATTATAGACTTTTTCCTTTAGCATTTTTCAAAAAATTTCTAAATCAAATAAATGTCTTCGTATAAAAAGAACACTCTAATTAGAAATTTTCTCTGTATAAAGATATTAGAGTAAGTAGTACCATATTTATCAAAAAAATTAAAGAAATATAATAAAAATATTAATGCTCGTTAAAATTCATACTATTTAGTGTTATTGTATATTAGTGAAAAGGTAAAATTTCTTATAAGGGTTAAACGACATATATATTTTGGAAATAATTCAGTAATTAGCATGCATATTAATTACATCCATGTAGGGATTGGTAGATATGTAATTGAAATAAATATAATTATGGCATCATTAGAATTAACACTAATATGACATTTTGGTCATATGAAAATACTTATGTTACCATAATAAGGTAATAGGGTAATATAATTAAGTATAGGCTCGGGATATAAGGTCAAAAAGTCAAAATTCCGCGTCACCAAATGTCTTGGTTGTTGAACGAGACACCTTAATGCCCTTGACTTGGAGAACTTGGCCATGCGAAGCAGGTTCTCATCGAACCATTCTCCTTTTCTCCAAAAAGCTTATTAACATGTTGAAATACGTGATTACCTACTTTCTCCGTTAGTAAATGCTTATAACATCCGGACAGTACTACGTTTCAAAATATTTATAATATTTTTAAAAGTAATTAATATATATTTTTTTTATGTTTACATTTGAGTATGAACAATTATTATTTCAATTTTTCAAAAATTTAGTACTTTGATATATTAAACCGGGTAATATATACAATTTATCTAATAATTTATTATCATTTAAATAAATTTAATAATTGTTTTTAAAAAAATATAAATTTATATTTTTAAAAGACTTAAATTCCGAATGTGACAAAAATTTAGAAACCCAAGAAGTTAACTTATATAAATAAGTTTACAACTCACTCTCACCTTTCCATGTGGAATGTTATATATAGCGAGGACAAACTAGAATATCGTAAGACTTTTTGAATCGAATATAACCAACGAATTTAGTTCGATTTTTAAAAACTTTGTTCAGCGTTGATCTAATAACACAATAAATTCCTTTTCCAGTTTGTTTTACTTTTTATTGTTATATAAAATAAAAATAGAAAACCCTTAAAATTAAACTGATTTAATAAAATTAGACGGAAATCGAAAACTTGAGCTAAATGCCAAATCGAACCAATTTGATTCGAGTTAATTCTATAAACATTTTAATTCAATTTAATTTTTCGTTTAAAAATTCATTTCGTTTCGTTTATGCTGATTTAGTTCAACTTGAGCTAAATCGATTGAATGTTGATCCAATATTTAATCCATTTCCCGCGTATTCAATCTTTCGAAAATAATTAAAAGGCGAAACTGATGCTCTGTTTGGTATAAATGAATTAAAAATCAAGAATTTATTTATAAATGAATTATCCATCACTGCACTATCAGCGCCACATCATTATTAATACAAAAAAATATATATATTTGAATCAAAAGTATCATTATATCAAGCTATTAGAGACCAGTTTTATTTATAAATTTATTTGGACTAAAAAATTTTAAAAAAATAAGCCAGAACAAAATTTAATATAACAAAATAAAAGTTATTATCATTGAAAACTCTTTATTTTTTTTTTTTACATAATTTCGTGTATTTTCATTGAATAGATTAATTAATGATGGGTATTTTGATCTTTGTAATGAGTTTTCATTCCATTCTTCCCATTCTTATAACAAAATAAAATAATAAAATAGATTTTTCCTGGTTGCATATTAAATATAGAAATAAGAATTCATATTCCTATTCTCATATTATTATTTATTTCATTTCTTATTTCATTACATTTCACTACCAAATATAGTCTTACATTATTGGAAATACTCATACTTAACATAAAAATTAATAGCTTTTGTTTCAAATATTTTTTCTTATTAGTAATAATATGGTGGTGGTGTGCTAATAATGTTATATATTTACAATAAACATAAAAATAGAAAGATGATTACATTCCGTAAATTTTTTGAATTACATAACCAAAAATAGTAATAAAATATTAATTACGTTCTATTATAATATATTTTTCATTAACTTAAATTATAAATTTGGTATCTGAATTCTCTAAAAATTTATATTTCAGTGTCTCAACCGAGAACATTTATAATTAAGTGTTTGAACCCGTAAAATATTTTCAATTAGGTGTCTCCATCCTATGGCTTGCCAAAAAGTCAAATAAGATGTGTGAGACCCACTAAATATTCAAAAAAGGGCTGTAGAACTGCGGTCGGCATGCCACGTCGATTTTG